GTCATACCTACTAACTTCTACTACTCTATGTAAAAATAACGAAATAAAATACACCACGTGTTTTTGTATTATTATTCGCTTATAGCGGACTCCGGATATAACGAACCAGTTTTAGTTCATTTTTCAAGTTCGTTATATCCGGACTCAACTGCATTCCAACCCAACCAGTTTGAGTTGAACAAAATTGACCCAAAGCGATTGGAGTTTGAAAGGCCAATTTCTAGAAAACGGCCCTTAAAAGTTAATGGGTTTGGGTTACTTTGACTGTATAAGGACTGGTTGAGTGCTGTCAGACTGTGTTGCGTTGTTGCGGCTCTCTGAGTTAATGACTTATAACTCATTTATTTAATTATGATATTCTTATCTTTCCTGGGTCTCAGTCAAAGTGGGAAGTAAGAATTTTGAACATGGTTTATTTCATTAGGTTTCGGTGAGACAAAAGCGCCATCATCAGATTTAAAATTTACACAAACTGCAAACACCAATTCACAATTAAAACATGTTGTATAAAAATTATAATTTACAAGTGTTAAAACATTCATCAGTTTTTGAGCGAAAAAATCCTTCCTTTTGGGAGAGCAATACACCGGAAAAACTTACCTCATGATTGGTAAAAACCAACGTTCTTTAGGGTCTTTGCCTTCTTGAAATCTTAAATTTGTCTGAATTATTTTCTACATTTGCGAGAGTGGTATGCATGTATTGAGATAAGCAGAAATAGTTTTAATTTTTTATCAGTGTACTGGGTGTTCCATAATTATGGCTTTATTAGGGTTTGGTAAATGTTGCTAAGGTCGTCGGTATCTGATCTAAAATTTACTGCTTTTGCATGTTTTTTTTATTTGTATCATTTCTTGGATTCTTTTATGATAATTTATTTTCTTAATTAATATATCTGCGTTGTCAAATTAAAATTATGCAACATTTGATTTGCATGTTGTGTTAATGCTGTTTTATTTTCACTAGTATTTCTCAGACTGTATTTATGTTCGTACATTCTCTTTTTTAAATATTGTTTAGTTTGTCCCATATATGTATTATCACATTCTAAACAATTCACTCTATATACAGTATTTGGTATATCTATTTTGTCAGTTTTTGTTTTTAGCTTTGGGAAACATTCAATTGATAAGTTGTTTTTTGTTTTTTCCGCAATTATAATGTTGTGTGGCTTTAGTATTTTTGAAATTTTTTTATTGATTTCTGGAATATATGGTAGTGATATATATGTATTGTTTCTTTGTTCCTCATTATTGTTATATTTAGTTGAGTTGTAAATCTTGTTAATTCTTCGCTTTATTATTGCTTCAGAAAATTTTTTTGGGTAGTTATTATTAAGTAATATTTTTCTGATTTTTTTTAAATTTTCTTGTCTAATTAAGTGTGATAATTGTACAGCTCTATCTGTAAGCGCAACACCCAATCAACACACTTCAGGGTTTCCATTGCAAAATCCAACTTTAAACACATCTTGATGTAGAAATTGTACCGAACCCTTAGAGCGCACTCTTCAACGCACCGGCGCAGTAACGCGATCGACACATTTCTGGGTTTTCTTGGCAAAATTCATACTCTAAAGCCATTCTAATATAGCAATTGTGTCGAACCTGCCCGACACTGAATGCAACGTAGTTGTGTCGAGTACTTCTGACTCCACACTGAGTAGAATGAAACGACACACTCTTAATTAAGAAGTATTTACTGTGACTCCTCTCTGACTCACGCACCGCTGCAGTAACTCAGTTCTAAATTATGAGTAAAAAAATGTGGTGTTTTTTTTTCTTTACTTGTTTGGACATGGTAAAACATTACCCGTAAAAAATGTTATGACCCTTTTTTTAGATGTTGAAATTCCAGTCTCGGAACTCGTAAAGCTTTAATCCACTTTAATAAATGAGTTATAACTCATCAACTCAAAGAGCGGAAACAACTCAAAAGCGGAACTCCACACAGTGTTAGCCAGGCCTACTTTAAACAGCCAACCTTCCACTACTAATTTTTCAATCTGCCAATGGGGAAGTTGTGCGTGAATAACTATGTAGAATGGAACTGTTCAGAACCGGCACTGCTCTTAATTCATAAGTGTGGAAGTTGCGTCCACTGTGTCGCACTTGAAGAAATTCACATAAAATTGTCCTTAAAACGGTCAATAAATTCAAATACATGCTTGGCCGAAGAATCTAGGTATCAACCGTTAAGGGATTCTTTTTTGAAGGACAACTTGTATTTTGTCTTACTGTGTTGGGCCTTAAGAGTTTTAACACCAATTTTGCGTTAAATTGCGTATCAAGCGCTGTACCTTACATACAAAATTGCTACCCGCTAAAGAAGTTGTGCAAAGCCCTTTGGGCACGACACTGCTTAGAATGAAACAAAACACTTTTAATT